GTATAGTTCCTGCTTAACCCAGAGTAGCAGATTTCAGTTTTCTGCCAGCCTGCAGAATTATTCAGACAAGCTAACCATATGCTTCCATCCAACTCTCCCTCTCTACTGTGTCTTCAACCCTTTTGAACCTTTTGTAGTGCCTGAATTGGACCAAGTTTCTTACAGGCTTAGGTGTTGGTTACAATCTTTTCGGTCTGCCTGAAGTACTATCCTTTAGTTGAAAAAAAATCCCCTTCTCCCTTGTGTGTTACTCCAGGTGTGGGTTGGGGTTTCTGCGGTAGTCCATAGGTGTCTATTTACTAGTCTCTCTTTTCCATCAGGCTGGAATCAGTGTGACAGAGGCCTGTCTGGGCCGCTGTCCTATCCTTAATACCTTCTGTGGCACCAGGCTGTTAGTAAGGAGCGTGTTGGTTAAATGCATAATGAAGCCAGGCCACTCCTTGGGCTCCCCAAATAAACATATAGATCAGGTTATTAAATGCCCTGCTTTTCAGCGCCAATTCTCAATCCCCAACTCATGTAGCAGTTTCTTTGGCCTGGGAAGCTAGTTCTATTCTTGCCTTTAGTCCAGGACCATAGCAGTGATAAAGGGGAAGTACTGTTCAGAGTTTTTCTTTGGCATTGACTTTGGGTACAGGATGTCTGGATATTGGTGATTGTGGCTGCTTTGAGTTTGAATACTCTTTTTTAAAAAAAATTTTTTTTTAATGTTTATATCTGAGAGCAGGACAGAGCGTGAGCAGGGGAGGGGCAGAGAGAGGGAGACACAGAATCTGAAGCGGGCCTCAGGCTCCGAGCTTTCAGCACAGAGCCCCGTGTGGGGCTTGAACCCATGAACTGCGAGATCATGACCTGAGCCGAAGTCAGACGCTCAACTGACTGAGCTACCCAGGTGCCCCTGAGTTTGAATTCTTAACTGAGGGCCCCTGGCATGAGAGAAAGATGCTAACAGCTGGTGCATTCTTTATGGGAGGAAGGCTGGCTCCAAACTCTTACATGCTGATAGGGCTAATGACACAATGGGAGGAGGGGGTGGACCAAGCTGGCCAGGCCAGCCCTCATGGGAGAGCTCCAAAGGGGTTATTTTTCCAGCTTAGGCCACGTCTTCTGTCCTAGGAAACAGCATATCTAGGAGCCAAAACCCACTGCCCTGCATCAGACCTGATGGTCTGCTGTTCTTCAGTCAGCTTACACTTTGTGATTAGTAGAGTAAGGGAGACACTGAGGTGATAGGCTCCTGGCCCTCACAGAGGGAGGGAAGACTATATGTTGTGAGAGGCTGCAGACTAAAGTCGGAGGAGAGAACGAACCTATCCGTGTGGCTGGAAGAATCCCAAGATGACATTTGAACTGGGCCTGGAAGGAGGAGGGCAGACTGGTTAATGGTGGGGGGAGGGGGGGAGCAAAGGCTCTGGGTTTGGAAGAGGCTGCTGGAGCGGTAAGGTGAAGGGAGCCCTGTTACACTCCAGGCACTGCAGGAGACGGCTACCGAGCCTGGTCTGCTCCTTCCCTCCCAGGACTGAGGCTTCTCCTTGTGAAGGATGTCTGAAAGCAAGGGTCTTTCAGAAGTCTCTCCTTTGGATTTTTTTCCAGTCTGGCCTCTATAATTTCTCAAAGAAGGCAGTGAGCTTAGGAACTGCCAGAGCTTATCTACCAGCCTGTTTGCTCATGGCCTTGAACTAAATTGTTGGAGTATGGGTGATGCAACATGTTCCTCAGGCAAAGGGGAGTTGCTTATGTTTCTTTTTGAATGTGACAGTTTAATTTGTTAGGTGGTAGATTCCCTGTTCTCCCTGTAGCACTTGAGGGAAAGTTTCTCCTCTGAGTTTGTAGATTGGGCTTTTGTTCTGTTCTGTTCTGTTCTGTTAGAAACCCGCTGCAACAAATCATAATGGGACATGTTCACAGCAACTGGTTCTTGGCCTTTATTCTGCCTCCCCTGAAGAAGAGAGAATGTGGAGAATATAGTTACTGTATTACCTATCCCTTCCAACACATAGTTATAGGAAATGGTGCTGTGGGTTCATTGATCACTCAACTATCTGATCGATATCTCCAAAAAAGTTTTATGCTTAGTTACACTGACATCAGAACTTGGCAGCATATCTGTGAAGGTGCGGGACCCTCCCCGCCCCAACCTATGCTGGAAATGTGGTTCACTCCCTGCCTTCATGGAGCTCAGTCCAGCAGGGAGCACTTATAAGTAATCACTTATAAGTAATCAGGCAAGTTTCAAGGTCGCATTCACAGCTTTTCTCGGACTGGACCCTTTTGAAGGGAGGCACTCAGGAGCATATGGGAAGAATGCCTAAGCCAGACTCAGATTTGAAGAATGCTTGCTGGAGAAAAAGATGTCCACTGTGCATGAGTCTAAGAGGCTTGGGAGGAACCGGCTTCCCTCTCTGATCTCTCCTGTCCCAGAACTCCAAGATGTGTGCTTAGACCAAGCTGTTCTGCTCTGGCCTGGGCAGTCACTGCTGGGAATAACTTGAGACCTTGTTTTCAGGTACCAGGTGCAGTGGCATTGGCCCTGTCAGGGTCTGGACACTTTTATTTGGTAAAACTGGAAATGTAGTTTCCGGTCCTGAGTTATTTTCTACAGATGAGAATTAAATGAAAGCCCCCCCCACCCTTTTATTCCATTCATACACATTTGAACAAAATTATGGGGTAAATTACCTTAAATACATATTTATAAAGAAAAACATGTTTATAGTAGGAACCTTAGAATCCATAGAGAAATAGAAAGAAGAAAAATCAGAATCACGCCTCATAATTCAGAAAATAATCTTTTGGGGCGCCTGGGTGGCTCAGTTGGTTAAACATCTGACTTGATTTCAGCTCAGGTCATGATCTTGCAGTTCATGAGTTCAAGCCCCATATTGGGCTCCACACTGATAATTTAGAGTCTCCTTGTGATTCTTTATCTCCTCGTCTCTCTGTTCCTCAACCACTCAAGCTCCTGCTCACTCTCTCAAAATAAATAAAGGAACTTAAAAACATTAAAAAAAAACCCAGAAAATAATCTTTTAGCAATTTTTTAGTCATTGTTCTATGTATGAAATATACACACTTTTTTTCTTTTTTTTTTCTATGTTTTTTCTTTATTTCTGAGAGAGAGAGAGACAGCGTGAGCAGGGGAGGGGCAGAGAGAGAGAAGAAGGTACAGAATCTGAAACAGGCTCCAGGCTCTGAGCTAGCTGTCAGCACAGAGCCCAACGCGGGGCTTGAACCCATGAACTGTGAGATCACGATCTGAGCTGAAGTCGAACGCTTAACCGACTGAACCACCCAGGCACCCCCACACTTTTTTTTTTTTTTTTACAAAATTATTCTTCACAGATTTGCAGTCTGCTCTTTTTCATTAAATATTAAAAATCATTTCTTACTGTTAAGTGTGACGTTGCATTATGATGTCCCTATACAGTTGTAACATTAGATGCTGCGTTTTCGCTCTCTGGAAGTTACACCCCAGTAACTGTTGTTCCCTTAAGGAAGGGACTGTTGAAGGGGTTACCACAAATAGGCAAAATGGGTTTGGGAAATTTTCCTGAACGTCGTGGGGATGCCATTCGCCCAGAGTCCCCCCTTTTGGGATGGGTAAGAGGGTTGCCACACAGCTCCTGGCCAGCCCCAAGTACCGGAAATGGAGGGAGCAGGGGCTTTGGAGGGAGCTCTGTGTGTGGTGGGTGTAAGGGAATGACCAGTACCCTAAAGCTTTCTCATTACTGCTGTCGGTTTGGGCTGGTGGCTACCGTTGGCCCATTAGAAATCACTGACCCTTGTCACCAGCAGAATTTGTGCTGTCTTTCGGGAGATGGGTGTGTAGTCCTTGTGTTGGTGTGGAGGTCTGGCAGTCCTTCACCTTCCTTTTTGAGATTGGTCTATAAGCCCCCAGAAAGACTGGGCTTTTGAATTTCACCAGTCGTAGAGGCCTGCTTGAGCCTTGGTGGGGAGCCCTGGGAACGAAGCATTCCTGCCCTCAGGAACTTACTGTGTAGCTATGTCTCATTGACCACAAATGCAGGGCTAGCCAGACTCCGGGAGTACTTGATGGAACCCTAATGTCTGTGTAACTGTCCTTTCCGCTGCTTTTTCACAGTGGTCGGGTTACCTGTCACAGTCCTGAGACATGGACGAGGCAGGGGTTAATGTCATCTTTCCTGGGTCCCCTACTGCAGGTCTTGATCCGACCTGCCTCATCGCTTCCCCTCAGCTGCCACATTCCTAGCTCTGGTCTCGCTCTACTAAATACCTTCCCCGCATTGTGCTGCTGGATGAGCCATTCTGAAACCAAGCTCTGATCTCATCTCCCACTCGCAAATCCTCAATGGCTCCCCATCTTTCCTCTGGAAACTTCAGCCTCCTTGGCCCAGCATGCAAAGCTGGTCGACCTCTGTGTCCCGTTGTCCACCGCTCTGGCTGCTTCATACCCTCTAGGCTCCCTGACTTGAAGTCTTTCCCACTTGTCTGACCTGCTTCTCTGCTCACAGCATTGCCTTCAGTTCCTGCACGTCCACGGCACGCCTGTCCATCCAGGCGCAGCTCCGGTGTCCCCAGGTCTGTCAGCCTTTGCTGATTTTCCCTCACCCAGAGGAAATTTCTTGCTCTGAACTCTCAGTTTTTAAATTTTTCTTTAGGACACCTCACTTTCTGCCTAATTAGTGCTTTCCACAGGAAGTGTTTCACCAGACTGTAAACCTCTTGTAGGCAGGAATAATCTTCAGATCCCTTAAGCTCTCATTGAATTGTTTGGCATTCTGAAGAAGCTCCAGGAAATGTCATGGAGCCTTCCCACCCCCTGTTTGGTTGATAGGGACTTGGAGTACCCAAGGTCATCCCAGTGTAGTGGCAGAGCTGGCCTTAGGTCCAGTTGGACATGTTCTGTTCCCCAACTTTGTTCCTTTCACGGAGTTCCTTCCCCAGGAGCACACTGTCACGTTTTGAAAGAACCTTAGCCCTGGTTTTCACCTGAACCTTCTATGTTCCCCACCTCCCAGGTGCCGGTGACCATGAGATCTCTGCGGCTGCTCAGAACCCCCTTCCTGTGTGGCCTGCTCTGGGCCATCTGTGCTCCAGGTGCCGGGGCCGAGGAGCCTGGGGCCAGCTTCTCCCATCCTGGCAGCATGGGCCTGGATAAGAATACAGTGCACGACCAAGAGTACGTATCCAGCAAGGGCTGGGGGTCCCAGGGCCTCCCCCCTGCAGCTGCAGTCGGTACCCACTCTTCTTTTATTGTTTGTACAGCTCCTTGACATTTTCCAAGAATGATTATTTATTCCTTATAGCCACCTGTAAATCAAGCAGTCTTTTTCCATCATCATTTCATAGATGGAGGATCTTGATGACCAGATGAGAGAAATGACTTGCCTGAATTCTTTCTGTCTCTCTCTTTCACCGCAGACGTACAGACAAGCCACCTCCCACATTCACGCTCATGTGTGCATGCATGCATGTGCGCACGCACACACACCCATTCTCACACACACATACACAGAGTAGTGACAGAATGACAGAATCCAGGATAGGACTGAGGTTTTTGGACTGACCAGAGCTTTTTCTTTCTTTACTGGCACATTTGAACACTGAATTTGTTGCAGCTTTTGTCCTGGGCCAGTCAGGCTCACACATAATTTGTTATCCTTGAATTGGATCAAAAAAAATGTTTTGAATTGCTCGTCTTCCATAATGTTATAACAACATTCTAATAATAAAGCGGGAAAACAACCATAATCTTGCCAGCTTAACAGGTGAACTGTTTGACTTTTTGCCTGCCTTGCTCATGGCCTTGCCTGCATCTGTCATCATGCGTGTGTTCTGCCACTCTTTCTCTTGGTTTTTCTGGGGTGAGTGAACTTTGAGATCTTGAACTTTTCAGCTCTTAACATTTCAGCATGATCCCAGGGTTGCTGCCAAGTGGTCTGAGTCTAACTATCGGTTTTTAGGCATATCATGGAGCATCTAGAAGGCGTCATCAACAAACCAGAGGCGGAGATGTCCCCACAAGAACTGCAGCTCCATTATTTCAAAATGCATGATTATGATGGCAATAATTTGCTTGATGGCCTGGAGCTCTCCACAGCCATCACTCACGTCCATAAGGAGGTAGGTCTATGGTAGCTCAGGGGGCAGCTGCTCAGAAAGTGCCACCCGCCGAAGGTTCAGTCCCCAGTCTTGACGACTTATGCAGTCCTTGTACAGCTGTGTTGCGGTGTCTCCTTTGCCTGCCCACCGCTCCGTTCCGCCTCTCTTCCTGTTCGGAGGTGCTTCTCACACAGGGTGGCCTCCTGAGGCAGAAGCCCCAGGAGTCCCCGCTGCACACCGGAGCTTGAGAACCAGCACCTGAAGGATAGACCACATCAAAATGCAGAGCAGGGGAGAAGCTGTTTTACTATAGGGTGGCGAACCGAGGGATCAAGGGACTCAGTAATAACTACAGTGCTCTGTACGAAGTGGTTAACACAGCACTTTCTCGAGTGGGTGAGAGAGCTCATTTGGCGAGCCTGTGAGTGGCCCGGGCAGGTACTGTTTTTACCCCCATTTTTCAGGTGAGGGAACTGAAACCCAGATGTGCCCAGGTCAGGTGTCTGTCCTGCCCTGCCACACTGCAGTCTGTAGTATGCAGAGGAGGACAGGCAGAGCTGGTGATGCGAGCGTGCTCCTGGTGGCTAGCAGGAGAGCAGATTCGGGTTTGCTTTGAAGGCGGTGGGGAGCGCTAACAGTGGCTGTGTGCAGAAGAATGGCAGTGTCGCGGGAAGGGCCTTTGCCATGGGAGGCAGATGGATGCACGTGGGGAGACTTGGCATCAGGGAGAGGACCTGGGGTTCAGCAGTCCTGGCAGGCGAGGCTGGTGGTGGCGACAGGAGGGCAAAGGGTACGCGTGGGAAAGGCAGCAAAGGTAGAATCGCCGGGACGTGAACAGCGTTAGCATAGCACTGGGCGCTGTGAGCTCTGCTGCGGCTCCCTCCAGAGCAGGGGAAGCACCTTCGTCTCATATTGTAACACATCCTCCTGGTTGGCAGTGCCTTCCTCTTGTTCTGACCCCAGGACACTATCCAGTTTGCACTTTAAAGAGCACATTGGACCCAGAGCTGTCCCTCGGGAGAGCATGGGTTCTCAGCTTTTCTCTAAGATGAGTTTGTGGGATTATGAACCTCATAATTCTGTGTAAGCCAGACCTAACTTTCTCCAGTGAACGTGTGTTACTTGTGTAATTAGAAAAGAGGGGATAGTAATTTTTAAAACAAATAAGCAAGGACCTGCTTTGATTGCATCTTTCTTTTTAACTGGCGAATATAATTTCTAAACTGGATTATTATGAATTGACTCTGTATCTGGTATATGGTTTGTGGATTCCTAGAAGTAGCCACATACTACATTGAAGGAGTTTCCGGACACACAAGTATGGACATTTTAGACCTAAGCTAAGCACTTCCAGTAAATGTGCGACTCATCGTTGTCTAATTTGTATTTTATAGGAAGCGAATGAACAGGCACCACCAATGAGTGAAGCTGAACTGATTAATCTAATAGATGGTGTTTTGAGAGACGATGACAAAAACAATGATGGATACATTGACTATGCGGAATTTGCAAAATCACTGCAGTAGACATTGTTTGGCCATCTAGTTGTATGCGAATGTGACCCGTCATAATGTGATGAAACACTTTGGGTAATGCAAAATAACTCCTTCCCAACTACTGCTACAGCATTTTGGTAAAAACCTACAGCAGTTTGTTACACTGGGGTGAGAAAGAGAAATCAAGAGAAGTAGAAGAGAAGCAGGACATATCGTAGTCCCCAGGTGCTGTTAAATCTCTTACTGGACAAGGGCTTGATTAAGGAATCCTTTCAAGAATATTGGATAATTAATTGGAGCATAGTACTCAGGAACTTGACTGTAGAATACCGCTAGTCTCTTGGTTTCATTCATGCTACCTGAATAGTAAGACAAGCTTTGCCAAGTAGCCACAGTTTTCAGTAACAGTGAGGGAATGGCATAAATTCCAGATGTTTCCCCTGGTGAATCCTGTGTCTTTAGGTAAAGGTGGTCTGTATTCTGCAGAGTTCCCCTGGCCTGAATGATGACGTCTTCCACGTCATCACCCCGAGCAAGTGAGTATCAGGCTGTTTCAAGGCATAAGAAGGATGCCAGATACCGAGTTCAGCTAGCCAGAGAGTCCGAGATTCTCTGTCTTCTGGCACTTTGGGAATGAGGAACAACTGATGTGATTAGCATTTTTTGGTTTTTTTCAGTATTTTATAAAACTACTGCCATATCCTTTCTTTATGTCTTCTTCATCTTAGGGGAGACTTTGAATTTAAAATGTTCTGCATTCTAATCATTAGCAAATGTTTTAGCTTTCTAAATATTAGTATTTAACCCTTATTCTTAGGGTTTGTTTTTGCGACTTAGAAACTATTAGGAATGCAAGGACTTTATCCCTCCTGCTTGGCACATTGGGATAAAGCCACTCACTGGTCCTGCCTAAGTGAGGAGTGAGAAGCACCCATATTGCTGCAAGCTGTATTTAGAAGGCATGGGGTTTAAATCACCTCTTCTAGCTTAAATATGTGAATTCTTTCAGATCAGGAAAGATTTAAAAAAGAAGTCTAGAAACTCTTGATTAAGAGCACGAGTCTCAGTAACGGTTGAAAATGAGAAGCAGCAACAGATTGTAATTCGGTCTCCTGGATGTGGTGGACTCGCTGTGAAAGAAAACCTGAAATGATGGCTGAATGGGGGGAAAAACCTGCAAAGGATTTGCTGTAAGACACATAGAGACTTATTTTCGTTATTAAAGTATTCTTATAAGAAAACATATGTATTTGTAAAAATGGTTTCCTGTGTCATGTATTTGTGCAATCAGAGCTGAATTGTAAACTATTCTTGTAATATCTAGTTATTTTGAAAGATTTATATATTGAATCCTGGATATATGACCAATAAAACTGATGAAACAAAATAAAGAGCCGTTGATTTTTGTCCACATAGGACTCTGCTCCCCCCGACGTGAAGGTTTTGTTTATTTAGGACAGACGTTTCCATGCGCCTGCCCCACCATAGGTCCTGTGACCCTGCCTGGCTGTGCCCTGTTCCTTTTGGCGGGGATAGACTCCCAGTAATCAGTCTCTTTCTGCCTTGATGCATTTCTTCTTCTGAATGAAATCACTTTTTGGACCTTTCTTCTCTGGCCACATTCAGATTATGACAGCATTGTCTAGCTTAGGAAAATAACAGTGTTTTCTCCTGGAGTCTGGTGACTGTCTTTTCTTTGCCAGAAAATTTAATTAGGTAGCATTTCTGAAAGCCCCCCAGGCCCAGGCAAAAAGCACAGCCTTCCTGGCATTTTGAGAATGACACCTTGTTCTGCCATTTGAAAAGGAAGGAAGGAAGGAAGGTAACCACTGCCTTCTCCCTCCCTTGCCCCCCAAAGATCCTTGGATGCTGCCCTGGACTCATCATCCAGAGCTGCCCTTCTGGATGGATCTAATGTGTGGGCTCTGCAATTATTTCATGCTAGCCTTTGTGGTCCTGTTTAGCAAATGTCCCTGGGGGGAAAGGGGCCTGTGATATTAGAGATACAGCGATGTTCCTTGCATACCCTTGACCTCCTCTCTTCTAGCCTCCTCATAGCCCACCTGAAGGATTTTTCAGAATGTATCAGGAACATCTCTGCACCTTAGTTTCCTTATCTCTAAAACAGAGATAAATCTATCCAGGAGAGGCAGCTTTATATGAGCATAAGCTTTGGACTCAGACCTGAGTCCAAATCAGGCCTGCCACTCGTCAGCTGCGAACTTGAAATTTAGTTTCTTACCTAAAAAATTACTACAATAAAACCTACAGAGAGGATAAGAGGGTTAATAAAAAGAAGGAAAATGTAGAAAGCACCTAGTAAGCACCTGACACCACACAGAGTAGATAATAAATACTCAGTCACCTGTTCCTCAGACTAGCTGTAGAGCCTGGGCCCCTACATCATTGCAGGCATTGGAGGGGCTGTAAAGGGATTGATGACTCAGGAGCGGGGGTCACAAGATATTCTCTGTTCCACTGAATGGATAGACCATGGATGTCAATCCATCTGTCTGTCGAGGAACTATGTAGTAAGTTAGGGTGTCCTATTACATGGTATTAACAATTACATTGTGATAATGTGTGCAGAAATCTTTTCTATACTCTTACTTCTTGAGGAAAGTGGATTACAGAGGTTTGAACCCGGTAAAGAAGTAAGGCTTACTTAGTAAGCCTTAATAGGTATTGCTAAATTGCTATCCAAAAGAGTTGTACTAATTCATACATACTTCATCTCTATTGCATAGGAAGAGCCTATTGCCTTTAGCTAGATGCAGAGCATAACCCAACAAGTTTCTCAATACAGAATGATGAGACATCAGTACTTATTTTTGGTCAGTCCTGCATTTGTTCATTTGTTGATTCATTGAGTGTTTATTGTGTTTGCCATGTAACCTCTTTGATCTAGACTTCGGATTTCAATACCTTCTAGAGAGGAGAAAGAGAAAAAAGCCTTTGTGTCCCATTCCAGACTTCCCCTGAAGGTGTTATCATCACAGGACAGAGATATTCTTACATGGCATTCCCAATAAAAACAAGAGCTAAATCACATCTCTACTTCAAGAGGAAATCCATTTTATCAAGGACCCAACCAATCTAACATTTCAACTAGGGAATTAGTAGCAGGAACTATGAACATTATGTCTGAACTTTTGGATGTTAAACACAAGAAACAAAAAAACCAAAAAACCCAAGACCTCTCCTTTTGGGAAGATGGAGTAGATACACTTCTGTCTATTTCTCTAATGAAGTACAACAAAACCCAGGAAATTATTTGTAAAACAAACATAAGAAGACTCTGGAAGGTGGAGAGAAGAAAGCAGACTGATTAGGGACACTGGGATGTAAGCAACAACATGGTGGTAAGTTCTGTCTTGTGTGGGTTTTGTGGGGATTTTTTTGTTTTTTGTTTTTGTTCTTTTGTTTTTCACCAAATCTATCCCAGACTTGGAGCTAAGGAAGCCAGCAACCCAGAAATCCCAAAAAGAGCACACTTAAAAGCCCCAACAAAAACTTGCTCTCTCTAGCCAGGGGATGAAGAAAAGGGCAATCTAAAAAGGCAGAAAACCTGTAGACAATAGCTGCTCTGTTCCAGCCAAACACCACAGGGAGAGCTGTGGCCCTGCCAGCAGAGGCCGAGTGGGGAGCCTAGGCCTCCATCCTTGCCAGGTCGTAATGAGGTATCGTCATTCTTCCTCTATTTGAGGTGATGCCAGACGATGCCAAGTAAGGAGCTGGGGCTTTCATTCCTCCCACTCTCAGGGCAGTAACAAGGCCCCTCTCCTGCCCACAAGGTCAGTGGAGAACCCCAGGGAACCTGGGTTTCCGCCCCCAGATCTCCCAACTGGCTGCAGTGAGACTCCCCTCCCCCTTTCTGCAGGGTGTGTCAGAGGCCTGATGAAGGGTCAGTCCTTTCACCACCCAGGGATAACAGTGTCACCTCCACCACAGTGTCTGTAGAGACCAAGTGGGGAATCCAAACTCCTGACCCCGCCCAGCAGTAAGGAGAAGCTGCTAGCCTTGGGTATTGACGGAGGCTGAGCGGGGAATACATTTCTCTTTCACCTGTCAGGAAGGAGGCAGTGCCTGCCCTTCCCCTGCCACAGTGGTATCATGGAAAACCAGTTAAAGCAGGTTTAAATGAGATCCAGGCTCATTACATAATACAAAAGTGTCCTGGTGTCAGTCAAAAATTGCTCATCATACCAAGAACCAGGAAGATCTCAAGGAGAAAAGATGCCAGCACTCATAACAGGTGTTTTTTTTTTTTTTATTAAGTTTGTTTATTTATTTATTTATTTAGACAGTGAGTGAGCAGGGAGGTGCAGAGAGAGAGGGAGAATCCCAAGCAGGCTCCCCACTGTCAGTGCAGAGCCCAACGCAGGACTGAAATACACACACAAAGAGTGAGATCATGACCTGAGCTGAGATCAGGAGTCAGCCACTTAACCGACTGGGCCACCCTGGTGCCCTTCATAACAGGTTTCAGAATGATCTGACAGGGGTGTTAAAGTAGCCATGATAAAAATACTAGAATGAGCAACTAGGAACATGAAGCCAATGGAAAAATCAAGTCTCAGCAAAGAAATAGAAGATATGAAGAATAGCCAAATGGAATTTGTGACCTAAAAAAATATAACCATAAAAGAACCTCAACAGCAGAATGAAGGACACAGAGGAAAGAATAAGTAAACTGGAAGATGAAACAATCGATATTACTTAATCTGACCAACCCACTAAAAAAGACTCCAAAAGAAATGTACAGACTTCAGGGACATATGGGACCATAACAAAAGACCCAATGTTCTTCCTGTCATCAGAGTCCCAGAAGAGGAAAGAGGTTGGAGCTAAAGAAGTACTCAGAGAAATAACAGTTGTAAACTTTGTAAATTTGGCAAAAGACATGAATCTGTAGGTGCATGAGCTCAGCAAACCCCCAAGAGAATAAGCCCAAAGAAACCTACCAAGACTCATGCTAGTCAAACTTCTGAAAACTAGAGACAAAGAAAAAACAATCTCAGAAGCAGCAAGAGAGAAATAACAGCTTACCTGTAATGGAAAACAACTTGAGTGATGGCATATTTCTCATCAGGAACCATGGAAGCCAGAAAGAAAAGGCCCAATAATTTTTTTCTTTTTTAAAAAATGTTTTACTGGGTGTTCTATGGAAACCAACTTGACAATGAACTATTAAAAAAATGTTTTATTTATTTTTGAGACGGAGAAAGACAGAGCATAAGCAGGGGAGGGGCAGAGAAAGAGGGAGATACAGAGTCTGAAGTAGGTTCCAGGCTTTGAGTTGTCAGCACTGAGCCCAACACGGAGCTTGAACACACAAACTGTGAGATCATGACCAGAGCCCAAGTTGGATGCTTAACCAACTGAGCCACCCGGGCGCCCTCCAATAGTTTTCAAGTACTGAAAGGAAAGAACCCTAATCTAGAATTCTAGATCTTAAGAAAATATCCTTTAAGAATGAAAGGGAGGGGTGCCTGGTGGCTCAGTCAGTTAAACATCCAATGACTCTAGATTTTGCCTCAGGTTATGATCTCCTGGTTGGTGAGATTGAGCCCTGCATGGGAGTCTGTTTGGGATTCTCTTTCTCCCTCTCCTTCTGCCTCTCCCCAAATTGGGTGCATGCACTCTCTCCCTCCCTCCCTCTCTCTCTCAAAATAAATAAATAAACTTAAAAAAGAATGAAGAGGAAGTCAAGAGAATTCTTGGATAAAGGAAAACAAAGAGCATTTGTCACCAGTATACCTGTCCTAAGAGAATGGCTGAAGGAAGCTTTTTTTTTTTTTTTAAACAGAAATGACACAGTGAAAGAAGGAAACTTAGAACATCAGAGAGGAAGAAAGACCATGGAAAACAAAAAAATAGGTAAGTACAATAGACTTCCCTTCTCTCGAATTTTGTAAGTTATGCCTCATTGTTGAAGCAAAAAGACAACACAGTCAGATGTGGCTTGGAATTGAAGTAGAGGAAATATAAGACAATTATATTACAAATGGAGGAAGATAGGGTAATATAAAGAAAAGCAAGATTCCTATTCTTCGCTCAAACTGGTAAACTGTGAAATGGGACAGCCACCCTGGAAAACAGTTTGGCGGCTTCTTAAAAAAAGAAGTATGTAACTACCATATGACTCTGCGGCTGCATTCCCAGGCATTTACGTTTGCCCAAAACCCTGCACACAGATGTTTACAGCAGCTTTATTTATAATAGCCCCAAATCAGAAACAATCAACAGGTAAATAGTTAAACAAGCTGTGGTACATCGTGCCATGGCATACCACCCCACCACCCAAAGGACAAACTGTTGATAATGAGCTACCACCTGAATGACTCTGCAGAGAATTATGCTGAGTGAAGGATTTCTGAAGTGACAAAAT